CGATTACTCCCTCGGTATTGTGAACAGATTAAGCGGACAAATCCGGGGAGTATTGCATCTGTTTATGGAAACCCAACAGATAGCTGTTTCCAGCGTCTCTTCATATCGTTTCAGGCTTCTATTTATGGCTTTTTGAATGCTTGTCGGCCACTTCTTGGGCTAGATAGAACATTTTTGAAAAGTAAATATAATGGAACTTTGCTTCTTGCTACCGGTTTTGATGGTGATGGTGCTTTGTTTCCTCTGGCATTTGGTGTCATTGATGAGGAAAGTGATGACAACTGGATGTGGTTTCTCTCAGAACTCCATACTCTGCTTGAAATTAATACGGAAAACATGCCAAGGCTTACGATCTTGTCCGATAGACAGAAGGGCATTGTGGATGGTGTTGAAGCAAATTTCCCTACTGCTTTTCATGGATTTTGCATGCGTCATTTGAGTGAAAGTTTCCAAAAGGAGTTTAATAATACTATGCTTGTCAACCTTCTATGGGAAGCTGCTCATGCCCTGACTGTAATTGAATTTGAAGCAAAGATTCTTGAGATTGAAGAGATATCGCAAGATGCTGCATACTGGATCCGACGAATCCCACCTCGGTTGTGGGCAACAGCTTATTTCGAAGGCACACGGTTTGGGCATCTAACAGCGAACATAGTTGAATCACTGAATTCTTGGCTTTTAGAAGCTTCAGGTCTTCCAATAATTCAGATGATGGAATGCATTAGGAGACAGCTTATGACTTGGTTCAATGAGCGGCGAGAAACAAGCATGCAGTGGACATCAATACTCGTGCCTTCTGCTGAAAGATGCGTTGCAGAGGCCATTGAATGTGCACGTACATATCAAGTGCTTCGTGCTAATGAAGCTGAATTCGAAGTTATATCTCAGGAAGGAACAAATATAGTGGACATTCGCAACCGCTGCTGCCTTTGCCGTGGCTGGCAATTGTATGGCTTACCATGTGCACACGCAGTGGCTGCACTTCTTTCTTGCAGGCAGAATGTTAATCGATTCACCGAGAGCTGTTTCACCGTTGCAACATACCGGAAGGCATATTCTCAAACCATTCATCCTATTCCGGATAAAAGTCTATGGAAAGAGTTGCCTGAAGGTGATCCAAATGCCAACAAATCCCTTGAAGCTATCATCAACCCCCCCAAATCACTTAAGCCACCCGGTCGACCACGAAAGAAGCGAGTCCGTGCCGAAGATCGTGGCCGTACGAAAAGGGTTGTGCATTGCAGCCGTTGTAATCAGACAGGTCATTTTAGAACAACATGTGCGGCGCCCATTTAAGTCCCGATCTTCCGAAAGTTGAATTTGCTGTTTCAGAACTTCTAGATTTGGCTTTCGTCTTGTTAGTTTATTGTTAATTAGTTATTAGATTTGCCGGTAAATGGTTTGTTCTGTTTGTCATTTATGTGAATTATGCCTGGTATCTCCTATCCACTTGTCCTATATGAATATTACCTCCGATAATTATCTCATGGTTCTAGTCATTATTGTTATCCAGACTCAAATATTTATTTAATGTTAGTATGTTCAATCAATAAAATAGATAATTAATGGAAAAATATACAATTTGAGAGTAGACACTTTCCCACTAAATTATATTTAGATCCACAATTGTTCATATCCCCATATTCGGGTACGTGAAATTGTATCCGACACAAGTATAAGATATGGATACTTGAAGAAAAATGAAGAATATATATATATATATATATATATCACACAATGGGAGTTAAACATCTATCGGTTCCTTAATTTTCATGCTAATAATTTATAATATTAAAAAATTATGAAGATTGTATTTGAGAACCAAATAAAGAAGATAAATGAGAACCCAATTTATTAAACACAACTAGGCCGTTAAGGGTAAGTTTGATCCAATACCGTAGGCGGACTAATTATTTACCTCAATACTATATAAATTTTTTTATTTTGGGAACTACAATATTTATTACAATGACATAGAATTTGTCATGTATATATGACAAGTTTCAATAAAATATATTTTTATTAAAACTTGTCAGTTTGATGTGACAAAATTTAATAGAAATATATTTTATTGAAACTCGTCACTTCTACGTGAAGAATTTTAATAAAAAATATTATTTAGACAAACTCGTCATGTAGGCGTGATAAATTTACTCTGTACTATAACATTTATAGTAGATCTCAAATTAATTTTGTTAATGACCTATTGGGCTAATTTTACCGGCTGTTAAGGGAGAGTAGAGCCCAATCTGTAAACCCTAAAACCCCAATTTCTCAAACCCCTAAAAATTTTCCCGTCCATTTCCTTTATAAAGTTCACATGAAACCCCGAAAGATCAATTTCCATTATCCAGCATCTCCGAGCTCCTACTCTCGTCATCTCTCCCAAAGGTATACCACTTCTTCATTATTTCCTTAGCTTTTTTGCCTTAATTGTTATGTTTATATTAGCACACATCGAAGGCTTGCAGGTGATTTTTAATTGAAAACCTGTGAGCTCAATAGTTGTGCAATATCATGATTATCATCCTCTTCAAAAAGTTACCCTTTTGATAAATACCCATTATTTATCTTGAGGTTTAAATGGTTGATGATTACATTTATTAATACCCATTTACTACTATTTGGTTATTAGATTGACCAATGAGTTTTGAGTTCCCCTTTGTCAATATGCTATTGCAGATGTAGAGATTCAAGTTTCTTTCCCCCACCCCCCTTTTTAGTAGTGAAATAATATTTGTTCGATTGAGGATTGTATGGTGAAAACTTGTGTCTTTTATTGTGTGATCCATTCTAATTATTTTGTTTGTATAAAACGTTTGAATTTGAAGAGAGTACACAATATTTTGATTCTTGTCCACAGGTGTGTTAACTAGGTTAACAGAATGTCGAAGTCAAATCCCAAAGTTTTCTTTGATATTTTGATTGGAAAAGCAAAAGGTGGCCGGATTGTAATGGAGCTATTTGCTGATGTCGTGCCAAAAACTGCTGAAAATTTCCGTGCCCTCTGTACTGGGGAGAAAGGTGTTGGAATGTCTGGGAAGCCGTTGCACTATAAAGGCTGGCGTTTCACCGAATCATCCCGTCCTTCATGTGTCAAGGTGGAGATTTCACGAAGGGGAATGGAACGGGCGGAGAGTCGATCTATGGTCTGAAATTTGCAGATGAGAACTTCAAGCTCAAACACACTGGACCTGGTTGTTTGTCAATGGCAAATGCTGGTGCAAACACCAATGGTTCACAATTCTTTATATGCACTGACCATACCCCGTGGCTTGATGGAAAACATGTTGTCTTTGGTAAAGTAGTGGACGGTTATAGTGTTGTGAAGGAAATGGAAAAAATAGGCTCTGGTAGTGGGAGAACTTCTCAACCTGTTGTGATAGAGGACTGTGGTCAGCTAAAAGAGAATTGATGCAGAAGCAGAGAATGCTCAAGTACTTTGTTTTTCTTCACATAAGTACTGCTCTAGAATGATTATTATATAAATAGTTAATGGATGAACATAATTTGTACTTTCTTGAAGTTGAATTTTTGTTACTGTTCTTTTGAATCCGACATTTTATAAGACTGCTTGGCAGAGAGGCTATAATAATCTCTCTTTTCTGTGAACATCTGAACTGTTATTGATATTGTTGTTTTTTAATAATAACAGAAGTGGGATATATTACATAAGTTTAGCATTTAAGAGTTGATATTTGGCAGATTCAGGATTCGGTGACGCCTCACTTTCGTCGGACAATCGTTTAGCAAACCTGATCCCAATACAAAAGTTAGAACATTTAGATCAAAAACAGGACATAATTTGATTGTATGAAATCAATACAGAAAGACTTGCATTGTAGTATTAGTCTTACTTGATGAGTGCTTCTTCATATGCATCTATAATTTCCGCTGGAAAATTCACTGAAAGACAGCTCCTGCGATTTCGAGAGAGGTGTAGATCATCGCTCCTCTCTTTTGATCGGCTACACTACTAATTGTTCTCATTTATCTCTGTCGTGAAAAATAGGGATGTCTTTGGGAAGCTATTCAGCCGGCTTTTTGCAAAGGAGGAGATTCGCATACTGATGGTTGGACTTGATGCCGCTGGTAAAACCACAATTCTTTACAAGCTGAAGTCGGGAGAGATTGTCACTACCATTCCCACCATAGGTTTCAATGTTGAGACTATGGAATACAAGAACATCAGTTTCACTGTTTGGGATGTTGGTGGCCAGGACAAGATCCGGCCATTGTGGAGGCATTACATCCAAAACACGCAAGGACTTATTTTTGTGGTTGATACCAATGATCATGATCGTGTGGTTGAAGCTAGGGATGAGTTGCATAGGATGTTGAATGAGGATGAGTTGAGGGATGCTGTGCTGCTAGTTTTTGCAAACAAGCAAGATCTTCCAAATGCCATGAATGCTGCTGAGATCACTGACAAGCTTGGTCTGCATTCTCTCCGCATGCGCCACTGGTATATCCAGAGCACATGTGCTACATCCGGTGAAGGACTGTACAAGGGACTGGACTGGCCTCCAACAACATTGCAAACAAGGCATAGATGGCATAATTGGGTTGTCAGTCTCTCGCTAATGCAGGCCTGTTTTCGCGTTATATGAATGTCTACCCGGTTTTTAAGTGTTTTGGTTTTATATTCTCGCAAACATTGCTATTTGGGACTTTGTAGTTCAAGAATTTTCCACTGGTTAATATAAACTAGTCTCCAAGTTCACAGCAGAAACAGTCATTTTCAGAAGCTGATTTGCAATCTTCTCAAGCTGTTCAAGGTTCTCTGTTCTGTCGCTGCTTGTGTATATTTCAAGCTATCAATCTGGTTCAATGTAAAAACATTTTGAATTCGATTATATAAATGAACAAATGGGGGAATCAAACACAAAATCTCAATGTTCAGAATGAAAAAAATAACTGAATTCGTAGATAACTGTCTCTGAAATTCGAGCCTTGAAAGAAAATAGATAAATACATATCAACCATATCATCCATGGCAGTCAAGACAACATCGAACAAAGGGTTGGTTCCATTAGGCTCCATGAACCATCTGAAAAGTCCCCATCTTTTTCCATCTCCAACTCAAGCTTTTCATCCCTTTCCGACGATCCAGTCCAGAGCGAAAGAATGAGAAACTTATCGAAATCCATGGTGTTCAAGCTTGAAACTTCATTACTTTTTAAACACCCCTCTTTGGTCACCTCGGATATTGCTAACAAAATCTGTAAAGAAGGTGTTAGAAACAATCTTATTAATGAAGATGTGTTCATTTTGATGGAAAATGTATGTGTTTTACGTGATTGTTGACTGCAACAACGCCATCGACGAGGTTGAATTTCTTGGTGTCTTTGGATGAGTTGATTTCGAAATAGTAAGGGGGAAGGAAATATGGTGCTGCAGAAGTGCTGATGCAGACATCTGATAATGAAGCATCTCTGAATCATCACGTCTGGCCTGCAATATTTTGACTACAGAAAATTAAAACAACTTAATTGATCCATCTTGAATCAATCTTGGGATGGCAACGAATCGGGATCGGAACCGAAAAGTTCGGATTTGTATAAATAACCTTTGAGGAGGAGAAAACTATGGGCTGGAAAAGCTTGATATCGAAAGAGGGAATTATCACATTGGTTAGAGTCTCAGTAAGCCTCTTGTCCCCAAGCGTATTGTGCAGTTGAAGTCCATCATACTTGGGAACCAATGTCACACTTTTGGTCCATCGTATAAAGCCCTCGACAGACTCGTAAACCGGCTCTGAATATCAACTTAATCCATTTCGTTATGATGGTGTACCAGTTCAAGCTGTGCCTGAAAAAAGGGTCGAGACATATAAGATGAAATGGTCGTACGCCATAGCACCCGCGACGGCCACATCACGGTAAACACGAAATAACCGAAAAGCAACCGCGACCACGATTTGAAACCCTGCCTTAAAGCTTTATATCTCCAATGTATGAAAGCTGTAGAAAAGCCATGTCAATCTCATTTATACATATACTCGCTCTAAAATCTGAGTTTTCTTTTAATATTTATGTAAGCGGTGCTCACCCTAAAATTTATTTGTGTCATCCTATTAAAATATTTTTTATTTTTAACTTATGATTGTCCACCCTAAAAATTATTTATGAATTAGTAACTATTGACACTTATGTTCACAAAATCATAAATATTTGACTAAAATTGATATTTTAAATAAAATCTACAAACGTAAAATTCTATTACTAACTACCTTCAACGTCTACGATGCAAATGCGAACTATATCTTTAATGTGTTGGTATAATAAATTTCTTGAATAATTTTTAAAATAGTTTTCCATTTTATTATTATTTTATGGGTAAAGTATATAAATAGTCTCCAAATTTTTAGGGCGTTTGCATTTTGGCCACTTAACTTTTAAAACTTGTAATATAATTATCAAACTTTTAATTTATTTTTATTTTGGTCCCTACCGTTACCTCAGTTAGTTTTTACTGACGTGGTATTTAATCCTATTAACAACGGCTGAAACAACGGCGCCATCGTGGTATTTATACATATACTCGCTCTAAAATCAAGAGCGCCAAACTGCAGATCAATCCTTCCGTTTGGTCCCTCGAAGAGCTGGAAACAACGGCACCATCGTGGACTCAGGAATCACTTTAACATTTGTACCCGGAGCAGCCTATGTTAAGATATTAGTAGCGATTAAACGAAGAGTGAAGCTACCAAGTTTGGAAGAGGCAACGCCGGGTTTCGACTTGTGTTTTAATGTAAAAAGTGGCCAAGGCTGAAGCTGCCGAGGTTGAGTTTGGAACTGAGTGGAGGGTCCGTGTTAAAGCTACGTTGAGGAATTATTTCATCGACATAGAGGAAGGGATCAAGTGCTTCACGGTGCAGCCGGTTGGAAAAGAAATAGGGTTTTCAATGGGGTTTTTGTTTGAGTTCAACAGGGACAAGTCGTGCCTAACTAAGAAGAAAAAGAAGATAGGAAGGAGGGAAAGAGGGGTGGAAGAAGAAGAGGAAAAGAAGAAGGAAATAAAGAAGAAAAAGTTATTATTACCACGTCAGAAAAATAAACGGGATTAAATGTCACGTCAACCCTAATTAACGGAAGCTAACAACATGAATCTTATTGAAAATAAATTAAAAGTTAACTGTATTATAAATTTTAAAAGTTAGGTGATCAAAATGTAAGCCCCTAAAATTTAGAAACTTTTATATACTTTACCCTTATTTTATTTATAAAGGACAAAAACTATTCACAAATTGCAATCAATATTTAAATATATACTAATCGATTTCACACGTTACATCCAATTATAAAGCAACCGAAATGAATAATAGCAATACAAAACAAAAAACAAAACAATTTTTCTTTGTTGTTCGAATAAAATAAAACAATGTTGCATCGTGCTTAATTGAATAATCATGTGGATGACAGATTAACAAATTCTTTTATAACTATTATAAGTTGTTCAACTGTATTTAAATCTTATGCTCTTGCAAATTAATACCAAGCAACATTAAGATGAGAAAAAAATGGAAACGAGCACAGATTATGATAGATCTAAAGAGCTTAAGACCTTCGACGATACAAAAGCGGCGTCAAAGGGCTCGTCCATGCCATCGGAAGATGTACCATCTGCAAAGTTGGACGAAGATTATGGAGATAGTTTCCAGGTTCCCGTCATAGATCTAAAAGATGTTTTAGATCCTGCTGAACACGAAGATATAATCGAAAAGATGAGATTAGCGTCTGAGAAATGGGGATTCTTCCAAGTGATTAACCATGGAATCCCACAAGATGTGATGAACAAGGTCAGCGGTTGTGTACAGAGCTTCCATGAACAACCCGGGGAGGTGAAGATGAAATTTTATTCACGTGAGAGAGAAGAAAGTTAAATTCAACAACAACTATGATCTCTTCCAGTCAAAAGGTGTAAATTGGAGGGAAACTTTGTTTTGTGTTATGGCTCCAAATCCTCCACCCCAACATGAATTTCCAGCTACTGGCAAGTAAACATGACATGTGAACTTGAAATACAGAGAAGCACTGATAGAGTACTCGGAGAATGTTCAAAGCTTAGGCCGAATTCTTTTCGGGTTGCTGTCCGAAGCACTTGGTCTCAACCCTTCTCACTTCACAGATATGGGATGCATGGAAGGGCATAGCTTTGTTTGTCACTATTACCCAGCTTGTCCTGAACCAGACCGAACAATCGAACATGCCAAACACTGTGACCCCGACTTCATCACGATCCTTTTACAATATCAAACAGGACTCCAAGTTCTTCATCAAGATCACTGGATCGATATCAATCCATTGGAGGGAGCTCTCAAAGTTAATATCGGTGACCTCTTACAGGTAGGAACACCAGTTTAGAAACTCGAGGGCACAACTCTTGTATTTCCCAATTGTTTTCTGGAAAATCAGACGGGTTTGCTATCGTTTCAATACAGCTAATCTTGAATGACAAGTTGAGAAGCAGTGAGCACAGGGTTTTAGATAAATGTGAAGGGCCAAGAATATCAGTGGCATGTTTCTTCACAGCCCATTTTCAAGCATCAAACAGGCTTTATGGTCTCATTAAGGAGTTGTTATCAGCTGACAATCCACCTTTGTACAAGCTGACCTTGATTAAAGATTATCTCAACTCCTTCTCCATTAAGGATTACAATGATTCTGCGCTTGCTTTTCTAAGGTTGAAGTGAACACAATATACTTGAATGCATTTTGAATTGTAAGCACTTTTATGATACAGTGAACGGAAAATTAGAACGCATATCAAAAACAGTTTAACAGAAAGGATGATATGATATTCATAGTCGAATCAATTTATGCATTACATAATATGTAACAAACAGTGAACTACCTCCTGCAAACATTGCAGCAGAGTATTATACTTGAGTTCATTACCTAAAATGGAAGCCATCATTTGGCAATGAATAGAATATTGCAAAAATCTACCTACTACAGGGGCATTGATGGCCTCCAGTAATCTCTATTTGCTATCAGGATCAAAACAAAATCACTCGGTTTCGATTCTTTTCATTCCCAATCTTCATCGCTCAATTGATCATTAGTATCATCTTTAGGCGGCTTAACCACCAGTACGACAGTTCCTAGACACTCCTTCACACCCATTGCCTTCAATTCTGATCATGTATCCACCTTCAACCCACCATCAACCATCGCCAAGTAAAATGTGTCATCTAATTCGACCTCCTTTCGATTCCGATCGGTAACCACTAAAATAGCCTCTTCCATATACCACATATTCGCCTTCCATGGTATAACTCTGGTATCACTGAATGCCACAACAACTCCACTGTTTAGCCCTACGAGCGACTCCCAACCGGGCAACACAACCCACCTCTTCCACCCTTTCTCGATCTCCACGACACCAAAATCCCCTCCGCTTCTATTTTCCAAAGGCGCTTCCGAAATCAGCTCGACATCCTCCTCCGCTTTACAAACAGGTAAAACCACCACACTAGTAGCCTCGGTAACTTCACCGAACTGTATCCTAACGATAGGAACCCGAACCCTCTTTCCCAATTCAACTTTCTCTTCTACCCCATCTTTTCTACCTTCCAACTCTTGCAAAACCTCGTTTTTAGCACTCTCAGACACAACCAATTGCAATGCTTGCTTCAAGTTCGTACTTCTTTCTTCAGAAGGATTTCTATGTTCCCTACTTTGCCTATAATACATAAACGACAAACAATCCCCAGGAAGCTTATAATCAAAGCTTCCCCAACCTTTATCCAATTACCTTCTCGGGAAATCCTTCATAGCTTTAGCCAAATCCTTTGCACCTTTATCATCCAACTTATTTTCAATATTATATCGAACAGCTTCGGTTCTTTGGGAAGAACTCAAAATCCTAGTCTTGTAAAGCAATTCAGCACCACCAATATGGAAAAAGGATATCAGAATTTCATCAGTATTGGCTTCAAAAAGAGAGGCTCTTACCTGGGAAGCAACTATCAATGTGTTCTGCTCAACCCCAGAAATCCCAGTTATTTCTTCAATGGAAGGAGGTGAAAAGCCTTCTAGGTAGAGAGAAGGGATAAGTGGGGCATACTCAAACCAAAGGCCAAGCTGGTTAGTTAACACGTCTAACCGACCCAGAGCGTCGAGTGACCGGAATTTAGCCGGGAGAGGAGATGGATGCGGCCTGAAAGGTTGATAAAGCTGTTGCTGTTGAGGTTGGGGAGTGGAGGGGATAAGTGTGGCCGAGATGGGTTTTAGGAGGGATTTTGAAGGTGAGAAAGGGAGATGTGAAGATAAAGGAGATGAGGTTTGGATATAAAATGGAGAAAAAAAGGGATTTTTGGGATTGATGATGGGTCAGAGATAGGTTGAAGATAGCATTGTTGGAGAAAGATAAAGGTTCAATTTTTGCAGAGAGGAGTGGTAAAAATGGAGGTCAGCTCGCAAGGTTCGCCTTATCTGATCTATTAACTTGAAAATATATAGAGTAAACTATATCATAGATCACTGAACTATAGTCTCTTTTTATTTTGATTATCATTTTTAAATTCTTATCAATCAGGTCATTTAACTATATAAATGCATTCAATCAAGCCACCTGCCATTAACATTTACAGAAGTGTTGATGTTGCAGTTAATAAAAGTGGTATATTACACATTGATCCTCAATATTTATATATTCTATTAATTTAGTCGTAATTTTAATTTAATTTAATTTAATAAAATTAATGCCCAAATAGATGACGACACGTGTCACCATTTGATTGACACGAAATAAATAAATTAAACAATAAAATTAATAAATTATCTTCCAATATAGTTGTGACACATGTCGTCATCTAATTGGGCATTAATTTTATTAAATTAAATTAAAATTATGACCAAATTAATAGAATATATAAATATTGAGGATTGAATGCGTAATTATATCACTTTTATTAACTGCCACATCAATACTTCCGTTAATGTTAACGAGGTGACCTGATTGAATGCATTTAAATATTTAGGGTCTGATTGATAATAATTAAAAATGATGTTCAAAATAAAACTATAGTTAAGTGGTGTCTAGTATAGTTTACTCAAATATATGGGAAGAGTTGGATTATGGGTTTAGGCCCGTTAAAGTTTCATATAGGCCCTTTGATTTGTGGTCTAAGGACAAACCCCAAATGGGCCTCTAAACTTCAATCATAGATTTACATGGTAGTTATGAATGTGTTTTTGGTGTATTTGTTGTGATTGAACATAATTGTTATGATCAATGTGCAACAGTTTGGTGAGGGTCGGCAGTGAAATAATTTGTTTATTAATTATTTATTTTATTGACGATGTCTATTTAAAATTTTTGTGCTCGCCTTAAATTTAAATTTTCTTCGATTAGTTACTTATTTTACGAGCGGTGCCCATCCTGAAATTTTATTTGTACTCATCCCATTTAAAAAATTTATGTTAGTAATATACGTGTATCTATCCTAAAAAATATTTTTAGATCCGTCACTGTCAATGTGAGTATCGAAATAGTATGTAATAATTTAAAATTGTA